TTAAGATCCAGTTCCAAGTTGGTAGTATACTTAGGCATCAAGGGGGAGCAAGATAAAACAATTGATGGATAGATAGCAGAAACAAATCTGTGCGGTATGGGGGTCTGTGTTGCAAATGTGCTCTAATGCAATAAGTGTGCAAAACTTTAGAAGATTCCTGAGGGGTGAAGCCCAAAGGGTGCCTGAAGGGTACAAAAGATCATAAATTCGAAGTATAGAGTATAACCACCAGGTTTAACTTCTAGGACAGTCCCATCCTGGAACCAAAAGTGGGTTCCCCATGAAAGAGGAAAGGGGGATAAAATCTTACATGAATACTTAACACTATCCCATACCTTAAAGTGGTTGTAAAGGCTTAAGGTTTTTTACCTTAATGCAGTCTCTGTAAAAAAAAAACATTCCATGGTCAGCCCCCAGCCCTCCCCAATGCTTACCTGAGCCCTCTCTTGATCCAGCTCTTTGTCTGAGAGAAGCAGCACTGCTCTCTTATTACTTTGGGGGCAGACATAGAAGAAGAGGAGTAGAGAGCGTAGATGGAGGACCACAAAAGGAGGTTTGGGGCTGCTGTATGCAAAACCATTGCACAGAGCAGGTAATTATGATATGTAATAAAAATTAACTTTACTATCACTTTATGGAAGTTGAAAGTGACAGGACTAGAGACACACTATGATAGGATGGGATAATAAATCGGGAGTAATAGGCGTGCCCGAATTGAAAAAATATAAGATATTAAATAAGCTTCCAGGCTCACCCATAAGGGAACATTCACTTGAGCATGAAGGAGGGCCAAATGAGAAGTTTGAGCAGCTTGGAAATAACTAACTGTATGAGGGACCCAAAGCCCCCCCTCTAATTTTGTTTCGAAGAGGGTCTAGCAACCCTCAGTCTACAACTGCCCAAAACAAAAGTATTTATAATAAAAGTAGTATTATTGTTTTATACGTCGCTTCTGGGTAATTAGGAAGGGAAGATCATTGAATGGATCTCTTTCTCCCCTCTACCCTGCGGAACCCATCGTGCCAGTTATAGGTCTGCCAATGGGCACACAGAGCCTAGGAAACATGGTGGGAATAAGCATGAGAGGGGGCAGCAGTCCCTGGGGTATTTGAAAGTGATTTGAAGGTTGTACAGCCACTTGGTTACTTCCATCTGACAGCCAACAGTTGGCTTACCAGACATACACTCACTCCTGGAGACTGAAACTACCGGGAGTGTGTGTAGAACTCCCCCTTCCTCCCACCAATGTATGTATACATTAGTGGCAGTAAAAGGGTTAATGCATGAGAGTATTTTGCTTTCTTTGTTAGCTGCAGCTTGGCATTTAATGCTTTTGCTAAGTCTGTGATCTATAAGCATACCCAGAATCTTTCCCATCACATTATTCTCCCTCCCTGGGAGAATGTATTTTTCATGTGTATTTTTGGCGTCTGCACCCGATCTGTGCTTTGGACTGCAGAGGGAATTTTTACAGTACTTTGAGTGACTCTCCAAGTTTTTCATATATTGGACCCAAGGGCATAACTTTATACATTATTTCTCAATATTGAACCTCATCTGCCATATAGCTGTCCATGCCTATATTTTACAAGGTATTCCTGTAACAATGCTATATCCTGTGTAAAATTTATTCCCTGCAAAATTTGTTATCACCAGACGATACTGAAATGGAGTCCCCAAATTCCTCAATGTCTGTACTCACAAGGCCCAAGGACAGAATAGTTGCCTCCCTCCAATTTTCCAAGCAAAACCCTCCAGTGTTACCAGACAGAGCTTTGGCAGAGAGCTCCCCTCAGTCTGCTTACTGTAGAACCATGGTCACTCTCTCTAGTTTCAGGCCCACAGGTCAACCTATCTGAGACGCCAGTGCCAGGTGAGGCAAGCCTGCCTCCAGCCTGGCTTTTTCAATCCTCTCCCAGAAAAGACGTTGAACCAATGTGCTCTCAGAACATAAATACCACTCCCAGCTTTGCCTATTTCTCCTTCCAGGTTGTGGAAGGCTCTCATAGCTTCCTGAAGGTGGGCAGAACTCAAGGCTAACTCAGCAGCACCAGAGCATCATGAGCAGACCTGACTAATCCATCACAGCACTCTGTTAAGCAGAGTCCAACTAGATTTTCCTAACAGTCTCTGTGTTAACCACACAGATACAGCTATACTTAACCTAAGTATACAAATCATAGCACCTAACTAGGAGGGTGTTACAACGATATCATTATTAAACATACTGAGCAGCATTGGACCCTAGGCAGAACCCTGGGTCATACCACTCCAACATTAGACCATTCAGACAATGAGGTATTAATCACAACTCTCTGGATCTATTCAGTTACTTATCTATGTACAGTACATACTTCATCAACTCCAACAAACCTTTTTATAGATTTTATGTTTATGAGGTACAGTACTAAATGCTTTAGCAAATTTTTAAAGATAAACAATGTTCACTGGACTTCCACCATCCAATTTCTTCCTTCCTCATAGAATTGTAGTGCAAACCCTAAGGAGCCACTGGTGAACTGACTCTTTTTTTTTTCCCCAGTTAGAGCACACACAGCCAGGAACACAGCATCTACTTTACTCTTCTACTGGCTCAAAAGGAACAGTCTAGGGATGTATCTATTAGGGTTTTATTATAATGTTTTGCTTTGATGGGGTAAAAAGAGCATGGGATACCCCAAAAAGAAAATAAAGGTGAACCAAACACTTTGAGGACTCCTTCTCTATTTTGCTGAGCTGCACAAAATTCCCTACAGAATCTCTAATGTTGACAGGTGACTAGGACTTTTCCCAAGACCAAAAACTGCACACAGTCACTAACCTCCAGCATCAGAATTATCTACTCACAAGGCCACAGGACCATCGGTTGCCTCAATCCAAATTCCTTCGAGCTCCAGGAGATACAGACTCACACTACCATATAACAGCTGGACACCTTTCCCTGAACTTCCTCCTGGTACTCTCCAGTAAGCTATTCCAGAACCTCACAGACTCCAGGACAAAGCTTTATGAATAGGCCCCCTAGCTAAAGCTTTAGCTGGGACCTTGATGTCTTCTAGATCAGGGTTTAAAATTCCCACTCGCCTGCTCGCATTGGCGAGTGGAAATTATGGTGGGGGCGAGTGTGTCCCCAGGGCCATCTTGCTGAGCAGGCTCAGAACTCAGGGCCGGATCTGTCACTTGCACTGGGAGCCGTCAGACTGCTCAATAGTTGAGAAAATGAAAACAAAGGAAGGAGTGTGTACTGTGCTCTCTGCCTCCCTCTAGAGTGCAGTACCCGGCTCTGTGAGTGAAGGTAGCGATATACTGAAAATTTTTATAGGGCTGTGTGTGAGTGTATGTGTGTGTATTTGTGTGTGTGTGTGTGTATGTGTGTGTATATGTATGTACATGTATCTGTGTGTGTGTGTGTGTGTGTCTGTGTGTGTCTATGTGTATGTACATGTGTATCTGTACATGTGTCTGCGTGTGTGTATGTACATGTATGTGTGTGTGTCAGGAATGGACTTGCCAATAATGGTGGGACTCACCTGCCTTGTGGGCTGCAGTACCAGGGCTGGCCAGCGGGTGCTCTCAGCAATCAGAGACTCAACCCTGCAGTCAGCCAAGACACCTGAGGCTGATTACAGGTGTATTTAAGGGATGGCCAGACCTGCAGTCTGGGCCTTGGTGTGTGTTTTTCTATGGGCCCCTGTATCTTGTTACCTGCATTCCTGTTCCTGTTCCTGTCTGACTGATTCGTTGCCGACCCTGCCTGATCCGGACCTCTGCTGACTTCTCCTGTTTAATCCCTGGCTTGTGACCCCGACCATTCTCTGCCTGACCCCCTGTACCTACCTGCCCGTTAGTTGCTGTACCCGCTCGTGACCTGACTACTCTCTGCCTGCTCCTCCTGTGTTCCTACCTGCCCGATTGTTATTGACCCGGCCTGCCTGACGACGCTTGCATTGTATGTATTGTTATCTGTGGGTGGTTTGGTTTGGTTTGTTTGCAATGTGTTTATGTTTTAGTATTACACTGCGTTTATGTATTGTTAGTGTTAATAAATTATATTGTTTATAACATATCTGAAGCCTGCGTTTCCCTGCGTCAGTTCACATACCTCTGGTCATACCCTGGAGCCCTGACATTACACCAAGGCAAATCCTGACCAGAAGTGGCTGCACAGGGAAGCCATCTTGGCTTGTTGCTGGGAAGGATGGATCTTGATGAGGTTGTGTATTTGTCGCTGCTGGTTTTTGATGACAGAGAATATGCTTATCAGACTCTGAGGGAGTATACCCGGGATCAACTGCTAGAATGTATACGGATCGCTCATGTTCTAGTAGATCAGGGCACAGAGTTCTCTGAGGTGCAACCTTTGATTCAGGTTTGTGTAGAGTTGGCTTCATCTGGTACCACCCCTGAATGCAGGAATGACTTTTTGCCACCATTTAGTGCAGACCAGGTAGAGTCCCTGGTATGGTTATTAGAGGATGATGTGGATTGCTTCTTGGAGCATTATGCTGCATGTTCACCACAGGTATTAAGGGATTGTATAAACGCAGTGCAGTCTTTGACCAGACAGGCTTTGTGTAAGCTGAGCTTTGTTCAACCCATACTGCAGACATGGTCAGACTTGTTGCACCCAGCCTCAGTCAGCTTACAACGTCATTCCTCCGCTCAAGGCACTCTTCCTGCATCCCCGACAGCACCCCCAGCGATGGCCCAGTATACTCTGCTAACTACCACATATCAGTCCTCTGCTCCCACTCGCTGCACCTATCCTTTCTTTAACCCTGTAAAGAAGTCCTCTGTAGCAACTGCTCCCTCCTCTGTTCCATCCTCCAGCTCTCCTCTGTCCTCAGCTGCTCCATTCGTTTGCAGACCTGCATTTACTTGCAGTGCTCCAGTAGTTAAAAACCAGAAAAAAGCGAAAATTCTTTCCAACCAGTACCATCCTGCCAGTATCCAAACCGGTGAGCCTGCCGTCTGAGAACCTGCCTTCCGTGGTTCAGCCTGGTGCCTCGGCACCCGCACTTCAGCCTGATGTCTCTACCCAGCCTGATGTCTATACCCAGCCTGATGAACTGATCCAGCCTGATGATCCTATCACGCCTGATGACCCAGTGCCCGCTGTCATACCTGGTGACCCAATGCCCGCTGTCGAGCCAGACGATCCAATGCCTGATGACCCAGTGCCCGCTGTCATGCCTAGTGACCCCATGCCCGCTGTCGAGCCAGACAATCCAGCGCCAGATGACCCGGTGCCTGCTGTCGAGCCTGACGATCCGGTACCTGATGACCCGGTGCCCGCTGTCGTGCCAATTGACTCAGAGCCCACTGTCGTGCCTGGTGACTCGGTGCCCACTGCCTTGCCAGATGACGCGGTGCCCGCTGTCGAGCCAAATGACCTGAGCCTGGTGACCCGATGCCCGCTGTCGAGTCAGACGATCCAATGCCTGATGACCCAGTGCCCGCTGTCATGCCTGGTGACCCGATGCCCGCTGTCGAGCCAGACGATCCTACGCCAGATGACCCGGTGCCCACTGTCGATCCAGACGATCCGGTACCTGATGACCCGGTGCCCGCTGTCATGCCTGGTGACCCGATGCCCACTGTCGAGCCAGTCGATCCAATGCCTGATGACCCGGTGCCCACTGTCGATCCAGACGATCTGGTACCTGATGACCCAGTGCCTGCTGTCATGCCTGGTGACCCGATGCCCGCTGTTGAGCCAGACGATCCAACGCTGGATGACCCGGTGCCCGCTGTCGATCCGGTACCTGATGACCCGGTGCCCGCTGTCATGCCTGGTGACCCGATGCCTGCTGTCGAGCCAGACGATCCAGCGTCAGATGACCCGGTGCCTGCTGTCGAGCCAGACGATCTGGTACCTGATGACCCGGTGCCCACTGTCGTGCCAATTGACTCAGAGCCCACTGTCGTTCCTGGTGACTCGGTGCCCACTGCCTTGCCAGATGATGCGGTGCCTGCTGCCGAGCCAAATGACCTGATGCCTGGTGACCCGATGCCCGCTGTCGAGCCAGACGATCCAATGTCTGACCCAGTGCCCGCGGTCATGCCAGTTGACCCGGAGCCCACTGTCGTGCCTGGTGACTCAGTGCCCACTGCCGTGCCAGATGACACGGTGCCCGCTGGCGAGCCAAATGACCTGATGCCTGGTGACCCAGTGCCCGCTGTCATACCTGGTGACCCGATGCCCGCTGTCGAGCCAGACAATCCAATGCCTGATGACCCAGTGCCCGCTGTCATGCCTGGGACCCGATGCCCGCTGTCGAGCCAGACGATCCAAAGCCCGATGACCCAGAGCCCGCTGTCATGCCTGGTGATCCGATGCCCGCTGTCGAGCCAGACGATCCAGCGCCAGATGACCAGGTGCCTGCTGTCGAGCCAGACGATCTGATAGCTGATGACCCAGTGCCCGCTGTCGTGCCAATTGACTCAGAGCCCACTGTCGTGCCTGGTGACTCGGTGCCCACTGCCTTGCCAGATGACGCGGTGCCAGCTGTCGAGCCAAATGACCTGATGCCTGGTGACCCGATGCCCGCTGTCGAGCCAGACGATCCAATGTCTGACCCAGTGCCCGCGGTAATGCCAGTTGACTCGGAACCCACTGTCGTGCCTGGTGACTCGGTGCCCACTGCCTTGCCAGATGACGGGGTGCCCGCTGGTGAGCCAAATGACCTGATGCCTGGTGACCCGATGCCCGCTGTCGTGCCTGATGACCCGGTGCCCACCGCTCCGCCTGGGGGCCCGGGGCCCGGTGCCCGCCGCCCCTCCTGGGGGCCCCCGGTGCCCGCCGCCCCTCCTGGGGGTCCGGCGCCCGCCACTCCGCTCCGCCTGGGGGCCCCTGGGGGGCCCGGCCCGCCACTCCTCCCTGGGGGGCGCCTGCCGCTGCCTGGGGGCCCGGTGCCCCCCCGCCCCGGGCTCTGCCTGGGGGCCCGCCCCTGAGGGCCCCACCTCCCTCCTCCTGGGGGCCGGCGCCTGCCGCTCCGCCTGGGGGCCCGGTGCCCCCCGCTCCTCCTGGGGGCCCTGTGCCTGCCGCTCCTCCTGAGGGCCCGGTGCCTGCCGCTCCTCCTGGGGGCCCGGTGCCTGCCGCTCCTCCTGGGGGCTTGGTGCCTGCCGCTCCTCCTGGGGGCCCGGTGCCTGCCGCTCCTCCTGGGGGCCCGGTGCCTGCCGCTCCTCCTGGGGGCCCGATGCCTGTCGCTCCTCCTGGGGGCCCGATGCCTGTCGCTCCTCCTTTGGGGCCCAATGCCTGTCGCTCCGCCTGGGGGCCCGATGCCTGTCGCTCCGCCTGGGGGCCCAATGCCTGTCGCTCCGCCTGGGGGCCCGGTGTCTGCCACCCCGCCGGGGGGGGCCCGGTGCCTCTGCCCGGAGTCCAGCCCAAAGTGCCTCTGCCCGGAGTACAGCCCGATGTGCCTCTGCCCGGAGTCCAGCCCGATATGCCTCTGCCCGGAGTCCAGCCCGATGTGCCTCTGCCCGGGGTCCAGCCCGATGTGCCTCTGCCCGGGGTCCAGCCCGATGTGCCTCTGCCCGGAGTCCAGCCCGATGCGCCAGTCTTTGATATCCCGCCAGTTACCAGACCCGGGCGGTGGAAAATTTGCCCAGCTAGGACTGTTTGGAGCGTCCTGAGGCCGCTCCTTGAGGTGGGGGTACTGTCAGGAATGGACTTGCCAATAATGGTGGGACTCACCTGCCTTGTGGGCTGCAGTACCAGGGCTGGCCAGCGGGTGCTCTCAGCAATCAGAGACTCAACCCTGCAGTCAGCCAAGACACCTGAGGCTGATTACAGGTGTATTTAAGGGATGGCCAGACCTGCAGTCTGGGCCTTGGTGTGTGTTTTTTCTATGGGCCCCTGTATCTTGTTACCTGCATTCCTGTTCCTGTTCCTGTCTGACTGATTCGTTGCCGACCCTGCCTGATCCGGACCTCTGCTGACTTCTCCTGTTTGATCCCTGGCTTGTGACCCCGACCATTCTCTGCCTGACCCCCTGTACCTACCTGCCCGTTAGTTGATGTACCCGGCTCGTGACCTGACTACTCTCTGCCTGCTCCTCCTGTTCCTACCTGCCCGATTGTTATTGACCCGGCCTGCCTGACGACGCTTGCATTGTATGTATTGTTATCTGTGGGTGGCTTGGTTTGGTTTGTTTGCACTGTGTTTATGTTTTAGTATTGCACTGCGTTTATGTATTGTTAGTGTTAATAAATTATATTGTTTATAACATATCTGAAGCCTGCGTTTCCCTGCGTCAGTTCACATACCTCTGGTCATACCCTGGAGCCCTGACAGTGTGTGTCTGTGTGTATGTACATGTCTGTGTATGTATGTACATGTGTCTGTGTGTATGTACATGTCTGTGCATGTGTATTTCTGTGTATGTACATGTGTCTGTGTGTATGTACATGTATGTGTGTCTGTACATGTGTCTGTGTGTGCATGTGTCTCTGTGCGTGTGTGTACTGTTTCTGTGTGTGCGTGTACATGTCGTGTGTGTGTGTGTGTGTACGTGTGTGTGTACAGGTGTCTGTTTGTGTGTGTGTGTATGTACATGTGTCTGTATGTAAACTTATATGTATGGGTGGTTTGGTCAGGTTCAGGATTATGTGGTTATTATGGGTATGTAAAGTATGGGGCATTTGAGGTATTGCTGGGTTGGATAGTAGGTAGGATATGCTTGGTAGAGGTATGGTTTTGTGAGTGAAAGATTATGGGAGGTTATGGTTGTATGCGGTGCATGGTCTAAGTACGATGGATGGAGTGTTTAGGGGGACATTGGAGGCCCTGATGTAATGTGGGGGGATTCTGGGGACCCTTATGTAATGTAGGTAACATTTAACAGTGTCATTTCATGAAATAATTTACGAGGGTATGTTTAGGGGCGGAATTAGGGGTGTAGCAGGGTAGGGGTTGGGTGGCGAGTAACTCTTAAGGCCTGGCTAGTAGCTCAGGACTTGAAATTTTAAGCCCTGTTCTAGATGATACCTCAAGTAAACCTGCCTCAGGGCAGAACCCCTACACAGGGCTCTCCTCCAGCAGGACTAGATCTAGGAACTCTCTCTCTCTGCCTCATGTCTCAGCTTGTTCATGGGCTCTTCAGCCACCTATTTGACACACCTCCCCAGGGATTGGTTAGACTCCCCATACAAATTCAGGCTGCTCACTCTGTTCTTCCCCTAACTATAACTCTAGAATCCTCTAGAATATGGGGGAAGCAATCAGTGCAGTAGCCTGTGAGACACCGAGCAGGCCTGAAAAATCAACCCCTGCTCCACTGATTATGGAGAAGCAAACTATATTTTACCTAACAACCTGCAATAATTTATGAGGGTGCTACAGAATGATAACAAGTTGCCTGACAAGCATTGCAATTCATAAATCCATGCTGGTTTTCACTTAGGATACTTTTATATCGCAGACGGAAATCTGTATAGAGTCTCCTACCCTGTCCCTTAAATCCCTTACATACTATTGATGTTAGTCTGACAGGTCTGTTGTTTCCTGTAGTTTTCTGCAGCTTCCTTTATTGTAAATTCGTAGCAGATTTGCTCTCTGCTGACCAGTTGGTACCATTGCAAATATATTTGAAAAACGTTTTTGGATTTGTTTTACTTGCTGTAGCAATGTTTTCCTCATATGAAAATTTAGCTTTCCTAATTGCTCCCCTGCATTTCTTGTATTTTTTTAAATCTGTACTGTCGAGGGTGTCTCTTCTACTTTGTACTTTTTGAAGAGATGTTTTTTCTTATATTTTATACACTAGATATTAACCACATAGGCTCTAATTTTGTTCTTCTATGTTTGTTACCCAATGGAATACAATAACTAATGCACTTGTTTAATTCATGTCCACCAGTGACATAGCCGTACATCGCTGGACTTCAAGCAGTTATACCGGCATGATGCCTGCAGCTGCAGGCACCAACCCAGTACCAATTTTCAGAGCCTGTGGCTCTCTTGTAAAAGCAATCCTAGCAGCTAATTGCTGCTTGATTGCTTTTACAAGCAGCGGGAGGGGATTCCCACCTAGAGACCCGAACAACCACCTGGCAGATTCATTGGCTGGTCATACAGCTGAATAAAGCTTTGGCTTTGATCATCTCTCTTCTATAGTAACCCGGAAGCAATGACCTGGCATAACTTCTGGTTTACCCGGATGACAATGGTGCCATTTTTTAAAAAAATTGAAAGCAATAAAAAACACCGATCTTGGTGTTTTGAATGATTTTAAGGGCAGAGCAAGGATTTGGGGTCTTTTAGACCCCACATCTATCCTTAAAGAGTACCTGTCACATATCAATTACTATGACAAGGATGTTTACATTCCATGTGCCAGCAATAAAAGTAATAAAGTAATTTAAAAAAATTTAAAACAACAGTGTAAAAATCAAATTAATTAATTAGCTACTCATTTTTTTTAAAAGTTAAAAGTGCCTCCATCCCTCTGTGCTTGCATTGGAAACGAGCATGTTGGCCCTGCATGCACACAAACAGCGATCGTCCCATGCATGTGAGTT